CAGAGTGAGACTCCAACTCAAAAAAAAAAAAAAAGTATTACTTAAGACTGTAACATCACCCCTCCACATTTCTTAAAGAATATTCATGTCATACTAAGAATAAATGATGTGAGTGTGTGTTTCTGTAGCATTGTTGCTGTTAGAAATTAAAGCACTGTTCTAGTAGCCTGTTGCTTCACGTATTAAATGTCACCCTTATCATTCTTCATGAATTGATTTTTGCCTGTTCGATGACAGAATTCTTCACACAAAAGCTAAATTGTTTTGATTACTCAGAATGTCACAATATGAATGATGGAACAACTGTAATCTCCTCACTCCCCCCTTCTTTATCTAGTCCAAATTATATATTAAAACTCAGCAAAAGCAAGTCACCAGCATCGGGAGACACAAACATGAAAACTGAAAAATAAAAAAAGGATGAATCGTAAAATAGTTTTTGTAATAAGTAGATAAAATCTACACTCATGAATGATATTCCCAATATTCCCACATGTTTTCATGCAAGCATAAAGAACTCTAGTAGAATAACAATGACTGTGGGGAAGATGCAAGTAAGGGTTCCTTCTCTGCCTTCTTCCTTGTTTTCTTTTTTTTGTTTTTTGAGTTGGAGTCTCACTCTGTCGCCCAGACTGGGGTGAAGTGGCCGCTCCTGGCCACCGCAGCCTCGACCTGCTGGGCTCCGGCGATCCTTCCGCCTCAGCCTTCCGAGTAGCCGGAATTACAGGCATGCGCTACCACACCCGGCTGATTTTTTTTGATTTATTGTAGAGATGAGGTCTCACTGCCCAGGTGGGTCTCGAACCCGCGGGCTCAGGCAATCCACTCACCTCAGCCTCCCAAAGGTGCGGGATTACAGGCTGAGCCACCGAGCCTGGCTTCTTCCTTGTTTTCTTAGGGGCTATCTCACTGTTTTAAAATATGAGGAAGAACCAGGTGTGGTGGCTCACACCTGTAATCTCAGCACTTTGGGAAGCAGAGGCTAGAGGATTGTCTGAGCTCAGGGATTCGAGACCAGCCTGATCAACATGGCAAGACCTCGTCCCTACAATAAATCATAAAAAATTAGACAGGTGTGGTGGTGCACACCTGTGGGTCCAGCTACTTGGAAGGCTGAGCCAGAAGGATCACCTGAACCCAGCAGGTCAAGGCTGCAGTAGCCATGAGTGTGCCACTGCACTCCAACCTGGGCGACAGAGTGAGACTCAGACTCAAAAAATAAAAAGAGAGAGAGAGAAAGAAAAGAATCACTGATAAGGCTTCCAAACCATCCCAGTAAGGGAGAATTGTAAACTTGTCCCAGAACTTTTTTTTTTTTTTTAGTTGGAGTCTTACTCTGTCGTCCAGGCTGCAGTGCAGTGGCACGCTCCCGGCCACCGCAGCCTCGACCTGCTGGGCTCCGGTGATCCTTCTGCTTCAGCCTTCCGAGTAGCCGGAATTACAGGCACGTACTACCATGCCCAGCTGATTTTTAATTTATTGTAGAGATGAGGTCTCGCCAAGTTGCCCAGGCGGGTCTCGAACCCGCAGGCTCAGGCAATCCACTCACCTCAGCCTCCCAAGGCGCGGGATTACAGGCTAAGCCACCGAGCCCGGCTAGTCCTAGAACTTTTCATATTGACTAAAGAGTTCTATGATCAGATGAGTTTGGGGGTCATTGCCACACATGTGCTCTGTGATTTCAGCCATGGCCAAACCTCTTTTGAAGTGCCAGTCCCATATACCCATGTAAGATAAGCTTTTCAATGGTTCATTTTCAGAGCTTGCATAACGGGCTTACAGGTAGGACAAATCCAAGTAGTACATGTTCCCGGAAAATCCCTGGACAAACAGGATGGAGGGGACAAGACATCACCTGGGGAGAACAGAAACCTAGGGTAGCCCAGAAGGCAGGAGGAGGGTAAGAGTTGAGTAACATGAACACTGCCTCCTCTGAACAACCCCTGCCAAGAAAGCCCTCCAGAACCAACTGTCAAAGGGACCAAGGGACCAATCAGTTTCTGACCAATGCCTCCACAATGGAGAAGGGATATGCCACTTTATTCAATCCAGACCCCTAATAGGGGGAAAATGAAATTTAGGAAACTTTTGGGAAGATTGTAACCCCATAGTATTCAGCCAATGAACAACCAGGGGAGGGACTTGCGCACTAGGGGGTAAATTATTCCCTGTAATTGTACTGGGTGTGCCTGCCTACCAGACACCTGATCTTGCAAGACTGCCATTAAAGTCTGGCTTCTGCTACACTCCGGGTCTCCGTGTCCATCCTTTGGTTTTGGACAGCTGTTTGTTTTTCACACCAAGCCACCTTTATCATGCGTTCTCCTGGAAGTTCCACAGGTCATCCAAATGCAAAAACTTAACTCAGTTTTTGTTTTCATATCTGCTTTTCTCCCACACATTTCCTGCAGAATGTCTTCTTGTCCAAGTCAGAAAATTGGTATTCATCCTCTCAATCTCTCTTTCTGTCGCCATCCTCTCACCCTTGACCCAAGCCACCCAGTTCTTTTGACTTTATGCCTTCCTGATCTTTATTGACAACGACTTCTTTTCTCTGTTGTCAGCCAGGCCGCGGACCAGGCTCTCACTCGGTTTGCCTGCTGTCATTCTCTTCCTTTTCCTCAAGTTCATGTTTCACGCTGTTGCCATAGATTTCCTACACAAATCTGCCCTGGAGAGTCCCGGGTTCAAAATATTTAGATAGCTTCTTTTGAGAGTCAAGTTCCTGCCTCTTTCCTTTCCCATCAGATCTCCTCTCTCCCTGACATGAAGCCTGCCCTTCAGAATTTCCCTGGGGCTGGTGTTCTGTCCTCCCATCCCTGACAGCACACGCTGTTTTCTGGAAATGCCCTTCCCACCAAATTATGATTGGCCAATTTCTTCTCATTCAGGGCTCAGCTGATGTGTAACCTTTCCTGACACCTCTGTCTCCACCTTTCTGAGTAATGTATTCCTCCCTCATGCTTCCTCAACATCAAGGTCATGGCTCTGACACAATACTAAAAGACAGTGTGATATTCTGTAGCTGGAAGAGCATGGCCACTGGAATCAGACAGCCCTGGGGTTGACTCACTGGTCCACCATGTACTAAACAGAAACCCCAAAATACCGAAGGTGCCAAAAAATGTGTAGACATTTTAAGAAAGGAAAACCCTGTGTGAAAATGATAATATATACTCATGGACCCCCGCTCATGCTCTCGGCGGGGGTCGGAGATCAGGGCCAGCGTCTTGTGGGCCGCAGGAGGAAGATGGCGGTGGAGTCGGGCGTCACCCAGGAGGAGATCAAGAAGGAGCCAGAAAAGCCCATCGACCGCCAGAAGACTTGCCCGCTGCTGCTGCGCGTCTTCACCACCAACAACGGCCGCCACCACCGCGTGGACGGGTTCTCCTGCGGGAACGGGCCGTCCAGCGAGCTGCAGATCTACACCTGGATGGATGCAACCCGGAAAGAACTGACTGGTGTAGTGAAAGAAGAATACCCAGAAGCTAGAAGTAAGGGCACACACTTCAGTTTTGCCATCGTTTTCGCTGATGTTAAAAGACCAGGTTACCGAGTTAAGGAAATCGGCAGCACCATGTTTGGCAGAAAGGGGACTGATGACTCGTGACCCTGCAGTCGCAGAAGTTTCAGATAGGAGATTATTTGGACATAGCGATCACCCCTCCAAACTGGGCACCACCCCCCTCAGGGCGCATGAGACCATGTTAGATTCTACAGACTAGTTCTAGAATGTATTTTTCGATCGGTTAGGTAAAATAAACTTATATACTCTCCTCCCCCGTTATTGCCATTAAGCCTTTAAATTCTAAGCAAATTATAATGCATCTACTTAGGCGCTAGCTTTGGACGTGCAGTGATCACTAATAGAAAGTCTGTACGTTCAACCCCTTCTGTAAAATATGAAGAAAATTGCTCTTAGCATTCTGTGTGCAACCGCATTGTTTTTTAGTTTTTGTTTTTTTGAGTTGGAGTCTCACTCTGTCGCCCAGACTGGAGTGCAGTGGCCCCTCCCGGCCACCGCAGCCTCGACCTGCTGGGCTCCGGCGATCCTTCTGCCTCAGCCTTCCGAGTAGCCGGAATTACAGGCATGCGCTACCACACCCGGCTGATTTTTTAATTTATTTATTGTTGAGATGAGGTCTTGTGGCCCAGGCGGGTCTCGAACCCGCAAGCTCAGGCAATCCACTCACCTCAGCCTCCCAAAGACGCGGGATTATAGACTGAGCCACCAAGCCCGACTCAACCGCGTTGTTAAATACACGTGTGTCATCAGGGAAAAAAAAAAAGAAATATATATATAACAAAAAGAAATATATATATAACAAAGATGAATACAAGTCACGTTTGACTTCTGCAATTACAAGAGGTGCTCAAAGTGGTTACCATCGGTGTCCAGACCCTTCTGATGACAGGGACTACTGCAGGCCAGTTGCTGTGTGAGGCCTCCCAGATCTTCCTTTGTGCACATCACACACAGGATCCTGCGTCTTAAACTTATCATAAATGCATGCAGTTTTTGGACGTGTTGGAGGTTCTGTTGCATACTCAGCTTGCATTGTCTTACTTCCGTTCTTGAATTTCAAATACCACTTCAAAATGGTCTTGTGCTCCTCAAACAACAATGGTGCTTCTGCCATTTTTCAATATTTTTTTCAGTAATTAATGTTATCTATTTTTATCTGTATTTTATAGCACAGTTAATACCTGCCATAATACAAGTTTAAGGAAACATAAATCTATATAAGTTTTAAGCAAAACGAAATACGAGGTCTGACAATTAAGTCCACAAACTCATCTTAGAAAACGTGCTACATTCCTCATTGCTGAATATCACCATGGTTACCTTCAAAGTACTCACCTTGTGAAGCTATGCACTATGTCAGTACTTAGTTTATGGCCATCAGAGCTGTCGTTATATTGCCCTTGATGTCCTGAATGTCATCAAATACCTTCCATTCAATATTTCCTTTACTTTTGGGTAAAGAAAAAACTCATTGGGGAGCAGATCAGGTGAGCAAGGAGGGTGTTCCAATACAGTTATTTGTACAGTGCTGTCAACAAGAGCACGGTGGCAAGTTCGCAAACTTAATGGTCAGACCTCAACAAATCACGATGAGAACTGTGATGGCCATTCCAGAAAAAGAGTTCCCAAACTGCTTTGACGGGTGGACTAGGCACTGGTGCTGTGCATAGCTTCCCAAGGGGAGAGCCTCTAAGGTGACTGTAGTGATATTCAGCAATGTGTATGTAGCACTTTTTCTAGGATGGTTTGCAAATCTAATTGTCAGACCTCATAAATACAAACATTAAAAAAGACAACCAGTGCTTGTGTGACAGGCAGAGGTAGGTGGGTGTTCCCCATAACTATGGGTGCATAATATTCTCCTTGGCATCATCAGGGCCAGAGACAGAGTTAGCCCTACTGTCCTTGCTAAGATGTCAGCATTTGACAATATTGCTACCATTCTAAAATATACTGTTCTGGCTGGGTGTGGTGACTCACGCCTGTAATCCCAGCACTCTGGGAGGCCAAGGCGAGAGGGTTGCCTGAGCCCAGGGCTTTGAGACAACTCTGGGCAACATGATAAGACCTAGTATCTTCAATAAATAAATTTAAAAAATGAGCCAGACATGGTAGCTCACGCCTGTAGTTCCAGCTACTTGGAAGGATCACCTGAGCACAGAAGGTCGAGGCTGTGGTAGCTGTGAGCATGCCACTACACTGCAGCCTAGGTGACAGAGTGAGACTACAACTCAAAAATTAATAATAATAAATAAAATAAAATACACTCTCCTGTTATGACTTTCTTGACACAATTCTCATCTCTGTTCTTTCTATCATTCTAGCTGTTCTTTTTCCACATATTTTGCTGAATGTATGCCATTTACCCCTTTAAAGTTCCTGTCTTGATGCTTCCTTTTATCTCATTCTCCCTTTATCACAGTTTCTTGAAGATTAATTGAGCAACTGCATAAAAATCACCTGCCTTCTTTTCCCTGGAAACATGCAGAGTAAGAATAGTTGGAGGGAGATGGGATCATGGATCTGCATCTTTATTTTTTATTAATGAATTATTTTGAGTAGGAATCTTACTCTGCCACTCAGGCTGGAGTGTGGTGGCACACTCACAGCCACTGCAGCCTCAACCTGCTAGGCTCAGGTGATCCTTCCACTTCAGTCTTCCAAGTAGCTGGAACTACAGGTGCATGCTACCACGCCCGGCTAGCTTTTTGATTTGTTGTGGAGACGAGGTCTCGCCATGTTACCCAGGCTGGTCTCAAACCTCTGGGCTCAGGCAATCCTCTTGCTTTGGCCTCCCAAAGTGCTGAGATGACAGATGTGAGCCACAGTGCTCGGCAGATCTGCATTTTTAACAAATTCTTCAAATGAGTCTTGAGCACACGACCTTTGAAAAATGTGACCTCAGAAATGTCATCCTCTCTTGTAGCTTCAAATACTATGCATTTGCAGAAGATTTCCAAATGTATGTCTCCGTCTCAGACTTCATTACTGTACTCCCAACCTATATAGCCAACAGCCTCTTTGGCTTTTCCTTTGGAAGCTTCTCAGGCAAAGAGTTCAAAAGTTAAAAAAAACTCCAAAAACTGAGTTGGAGTGTCATTTACCCAGGCAAGAGTGCAGTGACACGGTCACGGCTCGCTTCAGCCTCGACCTCCTGGGCTGAGGCAATCCTTCTACCTCAGCCTCCTGAGGAATGGAGACTATAGGGAGGCCACCTCATCTGGATGATTTTTTATTTTTTTGTAGAGACGAGGTCTTGCTTTCTTGCCCAGGTTGGTCTCGAATTCCTGGGCTCAAGCAATCCTCCCTCTTCAGCTTCCCAAAGTGCTGGGATTACAGGTGTGAGCCACCACACCTGGCCCCAAAGTAAAATCCGTATACTCCTCTGCTAAGTGTTTCTAAAGGAAGCAGCTCGCACCCAAATGCTCAAACCTAGGGTTAGCCTTATCCTCCCCCTTTACTGCTTCTACTGTAGCACTAGGATGTGTATAATATCTCTTGAATTGTCCCTCTTCTCTCTAACACCCCTGGCACACTCCCTAGTGTAAGCCACAGTCCTCTCTTGCCGGAATTTCTGTAATCAGCTTCTAACTCATCTTCTGGTATCATAATTAAGTATGGGCTCTGAAGTCTGGCTTTTAGGTTTCAAAGTCCCTGCTTGGCAAAACCTTATTTAGCCTGTTTCTTATTCTGTGAGATTGTGATAAAATAGTGCCTTCCTCAGAGGATTTTAAGGAACGTTACATGGGTAATTCACGTAAAGCTCCTTTTATTGTGTGGGATACACAGAAAGCTCACAGTAAGTTGTGGTCCCTGTCTACTCCTCTTCAGCCCAACAGTTACCCAACAATAGTGGTTGTTAAATATGCAAATCAGTCATATTTTTACTAAAAACCCTTCAGTGGTTTTTGTTGCATTTAAGACAGTGGTCCCTCGGTATCCAGGGAGATTGGTTCCTGTGACTCGCCCCCACTCTATCCCCATGGATACCAAAATCCATAGATTTTGGTTCAAGTTCCTTATATAGAATGTGGTAGTATTTACGTATCATCTACACACATCTTCCCATATTCTTTTTTTTTTTTTGAGTTGGAGTCTCACTCTGTCACCCAGACTGGAGTGCAGTGGTCGCTCTCGGCCACCGCAGCCTCGACCTGCTGGGCTCCGGCGATCCTTCCGTCTCAGCCTTCCGAGCAGCCGGAATTACAGGCATGCGCTACCAAGCCTGGCTGATTTTTTGATTTATTGTAGAGATGAGGTCTTGCTGCCCAGGCGGGTCTCGAACCCGCGGGCTCAGGCAATCCGCTCACCTCAGCCTCCCAAAGGCACGGGATTACAGGCGGAGCCACCGAGCCCGGCTCTTCCCATATTCTTTATTTTATTTTATTTTTTTTGGGTTGGAGTCTCACTCTGTTGCCCAGACTGGAGTGCAGTGGCACCGCAGCCTCGATCTGCTGGGCTCCAGCAATCCTTCCGCCTCAGCCTTCCGAGTAGCTGGAATTACAGGCGCGCGCTACCACGCCCAGCTGATTTTTTGATTTTTTTGTAGAGATGAGATCTCACCAATTTGCCCAGGCGGGTCTTGAACCCGTGGGCTCAGGCAATCCACTCACCTCAGCCTCCCAAAGGCGCGGGATTACAGGCTGAGCCACCGAGCCTGGCTCCCCATATTCTTTAAATCATCTCTGGATTGTAAATACCTAATGCAATGTAAATAGCGTGTAAATAATTGTTATACAGCCAGCACTTTGGGAGGCCTAGGCAAGAGGATTGCCTGAGCCCAGCAGGTCGAGGCTGCAGTGGCTTTGAATGTGCCACTGCACTCCAGTCTGGGTGACAGAGTGAGACTCGGACTCAAAAATAATAATAATTATTATTATATTGTATTTTAAAATGTGTATTATGGCCTGGCATGGTGGCTCATGACTATAATCCCAGAACTTTGGGAGGTCAAGGTGAGAGGATTGCCTTAGCCTATGAGTTTGAGACCAGCCTAGGCAACTTGGCAAGACCTCATCTATACAGTAAATTAAAAAAATTATCTGGGTGTGGTGGATCATGCCTGTAGTTCCAGCTACTTGGAAGGCTGAGGCGGAAGGATCACCTGAGCCCAGCAGGTCGAGGCTTCGGTGGCTGTAAGCATGCCATTGCACTCCAGCCTTAGTGAGACTCTAACTCAAAAAAA